TCGATGTAGACTCACCCCGTATAGTTTCATAGATCTCCGGCAAACTCGTTTCCTCGCCGCGCATCGCGCGATAACTCGATTAGCAGCGATAACCGGGTATTTATTAGCCCGCGAGATTTCATTTTGATATCCGCCGACTCCCCCTACCTCCTTTCTAAGCCGGCTCGTGCAACGATGCGTTTCTCCGACCGGAAGTTGCACGTCCAGGAGTACACGCTTGAATTCACAATGAGATACCGTGGAAGATTGAAATATTGAGGTGTTGGTGGGGTTATCTGCCGTTGAAAAACGTGCACTTTCGACGAATTTTCTGTTAATACTATAATAAAATACTATATATCTCTTCAGGATGTGTGAAAGTAAATATTTAATTAAATAACTATGGTAGTTCCTTTTGTTCTAATAAATTATCAAACGATGCGTGGATATGTTTATTTAGGCAGAAGAACGATTTAAAAATAGAGTCCCTTATACGACTGATATGCAATCTTTAAAATAATATAAAGTTAGAAATAGAAATTTAGAAAAACTAAAGATTATAATGTGAAAAATCTTAGACTCCATTGATTCTTCTTGGGGCATAGAATGTAAACAATTATATTTAATTCTTTATCCAAAAGAACAACGTTACATTTTTCACTTTTATTAAATTTAGTCACCGACTGTAGAGCTTAGGAATCAATTATACCAATAGCTACAAATTAATTACCGAATTAATCCTTCTCAAACTACTTGTATCCACAAAATAAATTCAAAAGTATTTTTAAACCCAGAAAATGAAATAGAAAAAATTTGAAAAAATTTTTAAATATAACTGGAAGTATTACTCATCGAGACTCGATATTCTATTTTCACTTAGTCAACGTACGAATCAAAATTCTCCATCATTTGTTTCTCCATCATGGCGAAAACGAAATCACCGCCGAACTTTTATTTATTTTTCCATGGACGTTTGTTTCGAATATCGCCTAAAATACGAGCATCGAAACGCGAAGGGGCCGCTTCTGTGCAACGTCTGTTCTCCGTGCAGCGTCCGGCGCAATTAGCGCTCCAATTAATAAGCGATACTCGTGTCAGCGCGACAATAAAATCGGTCCCGAAATGATCGCAATATTTTCCAACCGTTACTCTATCTCTCCCTCGCCGTTCAGATCCATTAATCCGCCTCCGCCGATTTATTTATCGACGTTCCGTTACTTTTTATTGAAATTAAACGACCCAGTGTCCATCGAGGGGACCCGCGAATCGATCGAGATATAAGCAAACGCGAGTATCGAATTACCAGAGGATTATCGCCGGGCGAGGATCGACGCGTTGCCATGGCGCACGATAATTATTTCTGCGTTAGCCATAATTATTGCCCGGGTGGCAATTAATTCCTGCCTCTGCGGCAATTAATTTATCGCGGCTTGATTAATTGCCGCGTGCTCGCCGCCGAAAGACAATCCGTTACGCCGCTAATAGAGGTTTTAAAAAATGGATACCCGAAGAAAAATTCGTTTTTCATCGACCGTTTAATCCTCGTTAAAAATTTCAAACACTCAGGCTTTGCACCTGTCGTTGTATTAAAGCTTCAAAATAAACGGAAAAATGACGTTTCCAAATAAAAATTGAACGAGCAGTTCAAGAGAAACCATATTAACCCCTTGCCATACAATTACGTGTCTGACTCGTCACAAGTTCTTGATGTCAACTTTCACAATTATGAGGCCACTCACTCGTCATCAAACCTTATAAATTAAAATTAACACAGTTTTACATTCACGAGGTATTCATAAAACAAATCTACTTTTTTCGTTCCCATTCCTTGTACGTACAAATTTAAACAAAATTAAATAGTACACGTTTAAAAAATTGGTTGGAATTAAATCGTCAGTCAAGGGGTTAATGTAACATTTTTCTCCGAAGGAACAAGTCTTGTTAAATTTTACCCTTAACTTTTAGAAACGACGAGAGACACGTAAGACAAGCAAACCCCCAAAAGTATCAAAATGTACAAGGAGAAAAGGAAACTTTAAAGCGACCCAAGTATTTTTCAATTTCTTTGCTGAAATTTATTATCCTCCGAACGAAGACAATGGTGAAGAAAAATCGTGTGCATAGCGTTGCAGCTTCTTTCGTTAACCGAGCCAATCGTAGCACGGTTCAAAATGCTTTTTCCTGCCCGACGAAAGCGGAGCATCGATAATACGTAGCCCACGGCGAGCCGACAGAACTACCGTATTTTTCTTTCGTTATCGAAGGAGGATCGAACGACAAATGGTCGTCCCGACTCATTTTGCGGATGAGATATTGCGTGGATTTTCACTTTCCACCGTGGACCGAGCCATTTGCGGCGATCTTTGAGAGCTCCAGCCAGTGAAGGATACGCTGTTTGGGAAACACGATTCGTTCCGCGCCGCGGCCATTGTGGCCCCCGAGACGTCGAATTTTTCAAAATCGGCCAGGTAGAGACCCCCTTTCGTCACGCTGGTTTTTCACTCGCCACTGAATAGCTACCAGTACCGCGGAGGATGAATAAAATCGTTGAGATTCATTTCTCTCGAAACGATCCCAATCTGTCTTTGACGATTCCTCCTTAAAATTATTCTGCACGTATGGAAAAATTAAATAACCACGGAATTTTATCATGTTACATATTCAGTATCCTTATTTGGTGAATAAATAAAATTCACCTACTTTAAACTAGAGTTTTACATTACTTATTTCATCACCAGGTCACCATTTTGAATTCTACTTGAATCAAAGTTCAATTCAGGATTTTCAAGATGATCCTTTTAAAAAATCCAGGAACTTTACTGTTAAACTTTTCAGCAAGAATGCTTCGCTCTAAATATATTTCAGAGTTTTTTAGCGCTGGTTCCACGCATACAAAAATAAATCTTAATTAAAACATTTTAAATATCAGTTGGTATGAAAAACATCGCTTGTCTCCTTCTACTGTTTATTGGAAACCTTGATACATTCGAGCTTGGTCATAAATATTATGCATCGTACGGTACTATATTTACAAAGTAATTCGTTCCTGTGTTGCTGATTATCGGATAGAAGAGTGTCTGTGAAAATGTCTACGGCGTTCAATCTTGACGAGAACGTTTGAAACGGGCCCGGGAACGACCAGGAGGGGAAATTAATATTTCACCAGGATTAGCGAAAGGTCGCGCGAACGGGATCGGCGAAATTCTGAAATAAATATTAAGATGAGAGCTGAGCTACGGATTCTTTGGCTCCCCCGTGTACGCGCGGGGTGGTCTCGCGAAATATTATTTAATCCTCGCTGGCCGTTCGCGCTCGTGGCGATTCTACGATGCTCCTGCTTCTCGAGAAGAATACAAAAAAAAAAAGAAAAAAAAGTTGAAAGAAATCAAGACACTTTGACGCTGTATATTACCAAATGCATATGATAGTGTAAACCTAGATATTGTGGCTGTTTATTATAATAGCGATATGTATACCATACATTAAGGCATTATCCGCGAACATTCAGGAACCTCGGTTACAAAACGTGTCAGTCGGTCGAGTTTCCCTCGTCCCTCGACGGTGCAGCTTCTCGTGGGCATGATTCAACCCCTTACCGCGTAGCGTGCCGTTTACTATACCTAGCGACATCCTTTCGTTTCATTTTACACCTCCACCGATCCAGGGACACTCTACGTATACCGATTGCTGAGAATTCAACATTGCACACCGGTGAACAAGAAAGCTGTAGTCTCCCGATTGGTGGAATTACACGGGATGACTCCCAATGGGTACAATATGGCGTTACCAATGTCACCCCACCAATCGAATGCTTCGTTTGTTTTCCGGAGTCAGAAACACGAATAATGTTTTCTAATACAAGAACTTGTGCAGTACGAAGCTAACTGTAACGACGACGTAACATAATCTGTTCCTAAAGCAATTAGAAGTTTACCAACCCGAAATTCAGTGAATCTATGTAAATTCAGTGTAGTTCGAGCCTATTCCCCGGATAACAAAAGTTGTTCGTTCAGCTGCAACTCGAGATTCCGTTAATTTCTTTGCGTTCCTGAATATGGCGAGTAATGTTATTGGACATACTTAAACTACTGAATCTCATCGGCGGCATTATGTGCCTGTATCTATCTATTTTTGATCCCTTACAAATGTCGTTCGCGCGAACGAAGAAAAAGTATGGTAAAACACCGTGAGCGGGTTTGATTTTACCGTCGCTCGATACGCTGCCTTGCCTACTGAAGTTAATCTTCTTCCATTCGCGCGCCTGACACAGAGACCGTGGCAAAATCCTCGACTTCTAAATTCGCCTTTCGTCGGTATAATCGACGGACGACAACTCGCTTGTACGCGCGATAAACAAAAGCGTTTATCTTTCATTGGAGAAGAAAAGAGACAGAGATAGGGGAAAAGCTTCGTCGGGAGAAATAAGCGCAAGCTCAATCGGCAACGATTTCCCTAACCGGACTTTTCCTATTTTATCGACGGTAATTTATAAAAAATACAAACATACACCTAATCACACATCTATCACAATGCTCAGGAATTGTTCGACTTTCATTTGGTCCGCGACTATTCGTCCAAGTAATTCTCACTTTAGATTCACAAATTTTCCATACACATCCGCCAGAACCTTTTAACTTTTGTCATCAACCGTCGATAACATCACTTTTCGTTTCGTCGATCGAGTCTGTGCCGACTTTCTATCGCTCGCATGATTCTTTACCGACGTAGTTGCGGTCCGCGTGTTATCGACAGAGTATTTCTTCGATGATAACAACGGTTACGCACGTACCGACGGAACTATCACCCAAGAAGAAGGAAATAGAGCAGACATGTCCAATCGAAGCTCCCGGGAGTTTAGGCACCTCCCCCCTTTGTCCCGTTAGGATGGTGCCACACGCCGACCGACATCGCGCTACACAATACGTACACCGCGAAAATTAGCGTATCGTCTTTCGTTTTATTAGCGACATAACCAGCAGAAGCAAGTACGCGCGACTGCGTTGATGTCTTTGTTTCTCGAAGGCGGCGTGTGGGAGGGGAACGAGCCACGCGAAGGGCTCCACCCAGTGGACATGCCTAGAACAAAGAGACTTGCTTGCGCATTCGAGGAGGCCGCGTCTAGTTGATTCTACCCTTGTGGGTCATGTAGCTTATGCTGTCGGACAATAGCTTCTCCCTAGCCTGTCGTCGCATTCGCGAACACATGGCCAATATCGTGCCTGCCATTATGCACAGGAAACCGCAACCAATCCCTATCATTGTGCTGAGAACCGTTGACCTCAAACAGACTCTGTCGTTCGTCAGTTCGCTGGGTCCTACGGAAACATGGTGGAAAGAGGGTTAACAACGAACGTTCTCCTATTTGTGGTTTCAGAATTAAAAATATTAGCGACGTTACCGCTTCGCGAAGCTGTGGTCGAATTTTGGAAAAATTCCGTATCGGCCTCGCCCTCCTGGAGCACGCGCAACGACTGGAAAAGGTTCACGTTTTCCGACAAACTGCTCGCTGGTGTCGACGACCCGTCAATTTCTGGCAGCGAACGCTTCGCCACGTTTTTGGCATTCCTCCAGTGGCACGGCTGGCTCTGTGTAATTAAAAAGTTGCAACAGGTGGTGAGGCTTGAATAACCGAGAGGTATAGAAAAAAACTGAGAATAAAGAGAAAGGAAGAATCTAGAGAACAATCGTTTCTACTTACTGGACATCGCCCGTGGCACATCCTGACGTCGCATTCGATGTACAAGGCCGGGGAGCCGGTGAACCTGAACGTCTTCATATAGGCAAACACTTGAGTCTCAAAGAGGCCGCTCTCGGACCAGGATCCGCGGAATCTGCTGATCAATTTATCATCCACGGGGCAACCGTACTGATCGATCAGCTGGATACGTTTGTTCCCGCCGTTGTGCGCGTAGCAATCGTTCACGACGATGTCGAATCCATCTGTTGGGGCACAGAGGCATTCGTTTTACTTAGGGTAGCCACCTGGCAGCACCGTTTAAAAAACTATATTAAAATTTCTATCGTCGACTCTTTGAATTAAGCTAAGTTTCAAAGACTGTCGAAAGATGACGAACATGGATATTGAACCTCCGGTATAAAGGTTCTGTTCAACCCTTTGAACCCAACCCCTTACGATTTTCTGACCCACTTGGAATAGCTTTTTCAAAAGTCGTTAAAAAGCTCTGTCATTCGAGACTGAAAGTAGCACTCCAGTTAGCTTTTCGGTTTGAGCTAGTCTCCAGGACGTAATGCGATAATAGCAGCAAATGTGAAATGTAAATTCGAATGTCACGGTGTCACGGGTAATGATCCGCGCGAATTACGGAGATGGTTAGGTTCGTAAAAGGGATGGCAGTCTGTGAGTGACGTCATCCAAGACGGAAGCCGCTCCTCGGTATCGATCCCCGGAGGGAAAAACGCCCCGCGTCTAATTTTAGATCCTCGAAGGGAAAATCGCGCGGAAATGCAACTCGTCCCGTCCCGTTATTCCGGCGAATAACACCCGGCAGATGTTAGGTAGCGCCATGCGATTAGACCTCGCGTCAAAACGAGGGGAGAGACGAGGACGGTGAGCGTAAAGCGAAAACGCGTATAGTTATGCTTTGCGTACCGTATTTGCTGCGCATGTAGATAATGAGAGTCAGAGGATCACCGACGCGAACTGGTCCAGCCACTCTAGTTCCAGTGGTCCCGTAACCGTATCTGATTTCCATGTAGCACTCAGGCGGCTGCAGGGTGAACACTACGGGATTTCCCGTCGCCACTCTGGAAAAAGATACTTTCATTATTTATTATAAAAAGATATATTAATTCTTTTTTCGTTATTTCGTATGTTAAACACTTGCACAGTCACCATAGGGAGTCTTAATAAATGTTCCATTTCTGTTTTCACATTCCTCTAAAAATGATTACTAATACATATTCGTCATAGAAACAATAAAGAACATTTGTGGAGTATATGGAGTAAATATGTGAAACACAAGCGAATTTTTACGTTTTTAATCGCGCTTAAACCTAGCCTACGCCAATGTAACTCGCTACAGCGTGATGGAATTGTGTTGGCGATCAAGTCAGCCAATAATGGAAGTCGTTATTACGTTAGAGCCAATCGGTTCGTCTAGCCAACAAGTCGTCTTCGGCGCAATGAGTGTCCCCACGAATAAAATGCGTGAATAAATATCGTTTCGTGATTAAAACAGCGAAGTAACGATTTCCATAACGTCCACGGAAGTTCCACGGAAGTACGCGCCGTTTCTTACTCACTCAACGTCTAGGAACGGAAAGGTGACAGTCTTCCAGAAGTCGTATCCGTATTCGCAAGTCACTTTGAAGTGTTCGTCGAACTCCTCTTCTATCAACGGGTTGTACTGCACCGTGACGGTGTTCCACATCAGGTTTTTCTGAAACGAGCAGCACGACAGTTCGTGAATCGAATAAAATAAACGAACGAAAGTAGAGTTGTTCGAACACAATTACAATTTGCATAAATCGTACAGAGTTACTGTAATTTAATTAGTAAAGGAACGATCGAGGTTGGAAATTGTGTCTATTATACAGGCATCTGGGCACTTTGGCTATCAAACGAGCATAGGAATATGTGTAAAGCTTTGGTATTATGAGTCTTTTAGTATTTTATTTTTAAATTCAAGTCGACGTAAAGATATTCAAGAAATGGAGCAGTTTTATGATGATTTCATAAGATCGTATTAATATAACAACTACACAACACTAGCAGTGGGGCTTCAAAGAATCTCAAACAATCTCAAACCACGCTTCAGTGTGTCACCTGACAGCTTTTGGTTTCATTTGTCTGACATAGTTGTTATAAAAAAATTTCTAAGGGCTCAGTTTGTCGCCGTCAGGATGGCAGAACCCTTTAATACCTGTCCAGACAAACAGACGTAAGCATAAATTAACGGGCGTACTCGGGCATTCACGAATCACACGCGACCACAGCCACGTAACAGAATTATTAAGATGGGCACACCTTTGCGATTTCAAACGTATTAATACATCTGGAGACACGTACGATCGTTAAACGCTGCGTGTCCAGGGCGTATCGCGAAATAAGAGCCGAACGAAGGAAGGATTTTTCCGCGCGCGTTAATCATTATTATTCCTTGTCAAACGATGCCGGTGTTCACGCTGCGATCTTAACGAGCCACGCCGGACCGTTCCTAAGAACCTGACCGTTTTACCTACCGTAGGATTCTTTCTGCTGTCCTGATGATGAGTGTTCTCGCCGAGGGTGCCGCACCGATTCAGCTGGATGTAGAACTCGTAGTAATCGCGGCCCGTCCCATTCACGTACATGCAATCCGGATCGTAGGAGTAGCCTGCAATTAAAATCGATTGTCCTTAAAATTATCACGCTTTTATGCACGTAGATTTATGAAAAACTTGTTTGCAAGGAGCGCCTTTGACATCATATAACCACAGACGAGGTATACGAGTAGACCTTACATTACCTCCCTGTCGATTTGTCTTAAAAATTAGTTTTTGATTCTTAATAAATTTGTTTTATGCTGTACGGAAATGTTGTTTAATACTTTTGTGTAGGTATCCATGAGCTCTATTTCACAAATAAATTTTAACAAAATACGTTCGCTATTGTAGGAAATCATTAGAATTAACTACATCTTCTTCAAATCCCCGAAGCAATACGAATCATCAGAACTCATATACAAGGTGGTTATGCTTTAGTGTGTGCAAGTGGAGGGACAGTTTCCTTCGGGCACCGGTCTGCCATCTGATAATAGTGAATTGCCTTTTTCAGTCCCTCCCATAGTCAACTCACATGTATTTACGCACACACTACCTCTGTCTGTCCATCAATACTCTTTCAGTGAATAGTTTCTCAACTAACCGCCATCCATGAGAAGACAACGTTAAAATCACTTCCGAATTTTCACGTCCGTATGACAGTCAAAGTGGACCATGAAAGTTCATAAGGTATAAGGCCAACTTGTATACCTCGTCTGTGATGTAACTAAGAATAGTTGAAAATAAGTCAAAAGTGCAGGATAACTCTTTGTTTCATCACGTTTTTATACCACTAATATTGTATAAATGAAATTAAATTACTGATGGGGGTTAATACTCTCGATAACCAGAAATCTCCTGTTCTCCAAAAGTGCAATCTTGAGAGGACTTGTCATTGTCGAGTAATTATCAAACAAAAGTTTTAAATCGATCTTTTCTGAAAGTAGATCATATTTTGGTGAATAAATCTCTTTACTCATTGAATTTGAATCCCAGCTACAGTTAGAACGAAATGATCTGGACTCTCAAGGTCATCGGGGAGGCAATCCCCACCAGTTTGGTAGACGCGAGTTAAGATAGAAAGGAAGATAAAAGTAGAAGTACGGTTAAAAGCATGGGAGAGGAAACCCGGAAGGACGGTGTGACATTTTGTCGTATCGGGAAGAATTTCTTTGAATTCGCAACGGGCGACGCGTTGGTACGTTCAAGCCTTACGATCTATTTTCACGGACGACGCGCTGGTACGTCAAAGCCTTACGAACCATTTTCACGGATAGCGTTTCCGGCACGTGTGCTCAAATGTAGCAACCGTTTTTTCCACGCGAAGTCGACCGTCAGCTTTTCCACTCGTCACTTCGTTACATTGTCCGAGGTTTAGGCCAATCATACGCGTGACCGGCGTCGTGGCGAATGGGTTAAACCACGGTGCCGGGAAAGACAATTTTTAGAAGGTCTGTAACTTCACAGTTTCACGATGCGCGAAGTAACCTTGACTGACCGATTTATTTTGCCCCGACTATAGGTAAGAGTGGTATTCGCGAGGAAGTAGCGCGTTCAATGACCAGTTTATAGGAATAAATCGTAGGAACGATGAAAGTTTACAAGTTCAACGAACCGGTGCAGTAAACTTTGAGCGACGTTGCGGCCAATGCGTAAAATATTCTTGGGAATGGACGATGGTTTAACGGTAATTTTTATTTGTGCGCGTCGACGCTTTTTTAAAATCAGAGGCAGATAGATTATTAGACTATTTAGCTGCCTGAGAATTTTGCACTCGAAAACAAAACAGGACTCTGACGGAAGCCATTATTTAAAGCACTGATGGGCGAATTGTTTTAGAAGAGGATAACAATATAATTTATTTCAGAAAGTAATAAATTCTTCTTTCAAAATCTTGTTTCTATTTTTAAAAAATTGAAATATAAAAGCAAACAAGTATGGCTGAATTTATTTAAAGGCAAACAGCCCTGTGTTGCATTGGTAGGGAGGGGGCGGTACTTTTTGAGATTCCTTTTCATTTATATTTAACCATAAAAAGTATACAATTTTTGTGACCATATAATTATTCAGAATTCAGCTACAGGCCTAAGTCTGAATAAGAAAATCAAAGAATCAAGATGAGTTATTCTTAGGAAAAAACAGTATTTTCCATTGACCCCAAACGTAGGTACTCTACGAAGAAAGCTATCCGCGAAGAAAGCTCGACGGAAGCGGCAGGAAAGGTAACGAGAAAAATTGTTCGTTCGACTTCGAGGAGACACACGCACCGTAGAGCCTAAGTCCGGAGTCACGACGATGGTCAACAAGGACGCGCTATTTCCAGGCGCATCGCGTGCGCCGCGGTGCGCCGGGGACGCAACGCGTTACACTCGTTTACAAAATAACGGAAGCGCACCGTCCGACCGTGCTTGGACTCGCCTAACACGCCGAGAGGAAAAAGGAAAAGCCGACAACGTTGTTGCAGAACTTTTTCGCTATTAGTTTAGAACACGAATCTGTCTTATTTTTAATAAAACAAAAATCGTCGGGACCATTGCAAGCTCAAACTAATCACTGTTTTGTACATGTCAATAGTTATTTGAAAATTAATGCAATCTTTATCTTCATTGTGTTTCGAAAGCTACAAAGGAAACTTGATTTCCATTTATCGGTTACAAATTAATTTTTATGCGTTGTATTTAGTACTTCGAACACTGAACGTTCTTTTAAATCGTGTATACAAATCCGGTTATTGCTGAAATTTATTCGTCGTTCACGAATAAATTGATTTTATTCGCTATTTTATTACAATTACAAAACCAATAAAGAGGTGATATAAACACTATACAATATAAATAATATAGAAAATAAGCAAACACAAACCTTATATTAACAGTCATAAGACATGACATATTTAAAGGTTTCCATAGACAAGTAAACAAATCAATTTTTACTCATTACTTTGCAATAACTTTTGCCCCAATACTGGACAAAGTTCTATGTGAAATTTTTCTTACCTGCCGAGTACAGCAGCCCTGCGAATGAACCATTGAAGCCGATCCTGATTTTCATGTAGTCGTCCTGGCACTCCGCCTCGATATCTGCAACAAATTATTCCCAAGTAAATGAAACCGTAAGTCGAGATGGTTCGATTTATTCGCAGTGTAATTTTATTTCTGTACAATTGGTTATTACTTAATTCTTTCGTGAGACACCGGTGGGCTTATTACACAATCTAACATTTTCTGATAGATTTGGGCATTTACAATCACTGTACAACGAGGTTGTGGGTGCCAATAAATGGTCCATAGGCCATTTTTTGCAATGTATAAAGTCCCGTGTCGAAACGGTCGGAAAATCGGGTATTCGGTGGGCGGAAAGCCCAGCGGAAAACCGGTCGTCGATGACGAGTGAAAGTGAACCACACCGGTAGCCCTCTTATACGCGATCTTCGTGGTAAGGGGCCGTTTCCAGCGTAAACGACGTAATCCAGCAGGGAGTTGTGGAAGATGGACGACGGCAGATGGAGGCTGGCGATAGTCACACCTCGGGTACACCTCGATGATACAACTTTTCGCCAGGCTACCGTCCTCGTCGTTCTCTACGCGCGTGCACGCGTTTTCGAGAGGGTCCCGGTATGCACGCACGCTGATCAGAATTGCGGATACGTGCTTTTGTGTTCATCGGCCGGCAAAACGTCCGAGCGTGAACAATGGAGACGGTTGCGCAACGCAGATACTCGAGTACGCGCCGAGAGGAGCGTTTCAGCCTCTACCGTAAGATTCCTCGCTCGCGATTTCCACTTTTCACCGTCTTGCCTTTCTGCTCGACACACTCGCCTACGTCTGCCAGAAGCATCATTCTTAATCTCGAGCTTATGCCACGGTAAATCCTCCTCTAAAGTCTTCTGTTTACTTTACCACGAGTCTCAATTGTGACATTTTTCAATTTCAGTCGGAATTATTTAACCTTCCGCGGCGTATGCATATTTTCTTCTGGGTAAAACAAGCCCATTCAGAGCAATTAATTTAATATAAACGGTGACTTAGAAGAATGTGTTCTACTATTATTTGTAATTTTATATTAGTCGTTTTTGTGGTATTTTCTAAAACTAGTGTAATTGAAACACAAATCTAATTTTAACTATAAATATCGATGAAACGATTATAAAAGTATGAAAGAATAGGAATATTCATTTTAAACAACCTGGCATGAGATTCTTGGTCATGAATAATTATTATAGCAAAGATGTGAGAATGAAAAATGAATATTCAAGAGTTACTTGAATATTAAAATACTTGTGTAATTTATAACGTGAATTTTATAACATTCATATTGTCCAGAAGAATATTCTTCGTCTGTTTGGACGAAAGAAAATCTAACACAGTATAATATTTAATCGTGAATAATTATAAAATGTTGGAAACTGTACGAAATAAATATTGAAAATTAGCTTGGCGAGTAATGTATCCTCAGTAGGGTGGACCTTATTTTTCGACTTTCAAATTTTTTTCGGGACACCCCCCAGTATGGTGCCACTGGGTGAGAAAATAATTTGTGTAAAATTTGAAATCGATCGGACAACGGGAAGACGTGCCTCATCGCAGTTGAAGTTTTTTTATTTTTGGAATTCGTTTTTCTCCATTGTAGTATATCGTTCATATACATTTTTATATATCGTTGAATTTGTCTTTTTACGCTCTTTAACAATATAGAATCAAAGTATAAGGTCACTTAAAAAAAAAACATCATGTCCTTGAAATCTCAAAAATTGACATTCAAAAAAAACTTTTTTCTTTGGCATTATTTTTATCTTGCCAAACAGTACAACTTATGTCAAAGAAATTTTTTCATATCTTTATAAATAATAGATTTCAAAATTTTAATGGAGTAACTGATACTTTCATCAAGATTACATTGTTTCTAATTATTTAATATTATTTTTAGTTTATACGCGCGGAGTAGATTGTGTAAATGGTCATGAAAAATTTGAAAATGCAGTTGTATTTGCATCAAGTAGGTAGTTGGAACCTCTAAGAATCCGTTAGTTTTCGACTTGCTCTGAACAGAAGATCCAGAACCGAAGATTTAGGAGGGGTCAGGCCTTTAGAATTGAAAACTGAATTTCATAGTGTAAGGAATATGGGATTTCGACTGTCTTTCGATGTGTTTCCAAGCGGTCATTTAGCCGTCGTCGTGGAGGGTCTTGGAAAAGGGAAAGCGTGAGCGGCACTTGTGGGTGTCATAAACCCTTTGGGGGACCGCGACAAGGCCCAAACAAGGGAGGCTCGAGGCGACTGCGTTGCCGAGGCGCATTCTTGAATGTATCATTGTCGACGACGCATCGTTGCTTTTTCGTGAAATACAGTATTACAAAACGATATATTCGCTTTTCATTGTGTTATACTTTTTATATCTCTTACAATAGTGCCTATTTCCCGAGCGTTCAGTGAAGTAAATTCGAAAATTCGAATCAAAAATGCAAACCAGAAGCGAAAAATTATTTCTATTAGATCATGACGAAAGTCAAATAATTGGTGCCAAGTTGCCATCTAATGTACAAGTGTTACGAGTTTTGTTTTATAACATACGTAAGGTGCGACTAAATCTTCATACGAGTGCTTCTTTAGTTGTAAAGGAAATTGAGGTCATTTGGGAAAAAGCACGGATCCCTACAAAAAAGACACAGCATAGCATTACAAAATTAGAATCGCTATACAATGATTGGAGAGCGTTACAACGAAATTCTACACGCCGAAGTGAACTTCAAGAAAAACGAGAGCAAGATTTTCTCGATAAAATGGAGGACCCCTTCGATATTGCACACGTTGATGCATTACAATTAATACAAATCGAAGAAGATAAATTATTTTTGGAAAATCAAAGAAGGAAGGGACGACCTGGGTCAATGATTGGAACGGATCGCGTGGTATTCGAGCAAGAAACGAAACGAGCAATACGAAAAGACCAACAAGAATCCAGACAAATGCAATATGAAATGAGTGTTGCTGAAGGTATGTACATATTTCTTACATATTTAATTTTTATACATCTAAATATTGTGAATTATATTATTTTTATATTACTTTTACTATTTCTATTAACATTTTGATTTTTTTTTAAACAAGTCAGAACAGTAGAATTTGAATCATCATCATCATCATCCTCCTCCATTGAATATCAAAATCAGTTCCCTGGCAATGAAAATATTGGAATTGAAGATCCGGTTAATTTACCTGGTCCGAGTAACTCCAAAAGAAGGCGCGCTCAAAAACAATTTATAACGCCAAATCTGGTTGCGATGCTCGACAGATGCAAAGTGAGTGATCGCGATAGTATTGGCATCATCACAATAATTGCACAAGCTCTCGGACATAATATAAACGACCTAATAATAAATTGAACATCTATTCGCCGCCAGAGAACTAAATATCGTGCAGAACTTGCAAATAAATTACGCGAGAAATTTAATGATTGCGAGCTCAATGCAATTACAGTCCATTGGGATGGAAAGCTTTTACCAATTTTAAAGGGGACAGAAAAGATCGAAAGACTACCTGTGTTAATCAGTTCCATTGGTGTGGAAAAATTACTAGGAATTCCAACGATTTCGTCTAGCAGTGGAAACGATCAAGCTTCTGCGGTGTATGATTTATTAGAAGAATGGGGATTATCCAACAAAGTACAAGCACTTTCTTGTGATACTACCGCCTCAAATACTGGACGCTACCAAGGAGCCTGCGTTCTTCTTGAACAAAAATTGGAAAGAGAAATTCTATATTTGCCCTGCAGACACCATATATACGAAATCATTTTACAAGGCGTCTTTAAAGAAAAAATGTACCAGTCTACCGGTCCAAATGTTCCAGTGTTCAAAAATTTTCAAAATGCTTGGCCAACAATCAACAAATTAAATTTTGTATCCGGAATTGAAACCCAATATGTCCGTCAAACAATTACAGATACAGTTATTGAAGAAACAATCAAATTTGCAATAGACGTTTTACAAAGAGAACATCAACCTAGAGAAGATTACAAAGAATTTTTACAATTAATAATTATTTTCCTCGGTGGGACTCCACCAAAAAATATAAGTTTTCGAGCCCCAGGAACTTTCCACCACGCTCGATGGATGGCAAAAGCTTTATATTGCTTGAAAATATATTTATTTAAACACCAATTTTCAATAACTGTGGAAGAAGAAACTGGAATTCGTGATATATGTATCTTTCTCGCCACTTTTTATATAAAACCGTGGATTCGAGCTACAATGACAGCGGAAGCTCCACGACAAGACTTAGAGTTTTTGCAAAAACTCTATGCGTACCGCACAATCGATGAAAAAATAAGTCTTATAGCTGTAAAAAAAATGTGCAACCATTATTTATGGTATTTATCAACAGAAACGGCAGCGTTAGCATTTTTTGATAAAGCTGTGGGAAAGAACATAAAATTACGAATGGTGGAAGCGCTTAATACTGAAGTCGACGAATCGTGCAAAAAATATACAATTAATCCAAATGATGTGGGAAACTATATTGAAATAGGAATTGACCATTTTATTTCTGAAGGTTCAAAAAAATTTTTCGAACGATTCTCAATTCCCATTGAATTTTTAAAAAAGGATCCTAATGTATGGGAAAATGAGAACGATTTTCTATACGGACTAAACATCGTTCAAGGCTTAAAAGTTGTTAATGACACTGCTGAGCGTGGTGTTAAACTTATGCAGGAATATAATCAGTTATTGGCCAAAAACGAGGAGGAAAAACAATATGTATTACAAATTGTTTCCGAACATAGAAAACAGTTTCCGGATGTAACAAAACGGTCACTATTGAAAGAAATATAAGATATTTACTCGAAAAAAATACTTTCATTTTTTATTCCTCCAAATATTCCTTTTCAGTTCTGAAACTACTTTCTTGTATTATGTATTACATTATAAGTACATTATAGTATTCGTATTATATTATATTGGGAATTGTTTAAAGATAAAAATTAAAGTATCTTTATTTGCGAATATATGAAAAAATTTCTTAGACAAAAGTTGTACTGTTTGGTAAGATAAAAATAATACCAAAGAAAAAAGTTTTTTTTGAAGATCAAGTTTTGAGATTTCAAGGTCATGATGTTTTTTTTTAAGTGACCTTATAATTTGATTCTATATTGTTAAAGAACGTAAAAAAACAAATTCAACGATATATAAAAATGTATGTGAACGATATACTACAATGGAGAAAAACGAATTCCAAAAATAAAAAAACTTCAACTGCGATGAGGCACGTCTTCCCGTTGTCCGATCGATTTCAAATTTTACACAAATTATTTTCTCACCCAGTGGCACCATACTGGGGGGTGTCCCCGCCGAAAATTTGAAATTTATTTTTCGACAAGAGTAACTAAGGTCTACCCTAATCCTCAGTTACGACGCTATTTAAGTAGAACGAGGACTGATTAAAATGTCTGACCCAATACGGTTCCTTATTCCTTAAAGCCCAGATATCAATATTTCACCCACGCTTAAAACAACTGTTAAGTTCCGAGGCGTGTTTGAAGCTCAAACCCAGGCTTCGTAGTTTCCAACTATTTACAACGATCGCGTGTCCTTAATTATTAATATTATTCCAACACCAGTGGGTCATTTTTGTCATTCTGTAATGGCACTTTAATGAATGTCTCGCAGAGTACAATTCAAGATAGTTCTGAAGTAGCAACTGTCCATGCTTCGGTGACTTTTAGATCTTGAAAACGATAATCGCTGAAACTGAAGTCAAGAAATGTCTTCAGAATATTCTTCAACACTTTTCAAATACTCACGAGCAATATTTATTTGTTAAATATTATATACGAACAGTTTTGACCGAAGAAAAAATATTACAAAAACTGTGCTATTATTTTGAAGCAGCGAACCGCTACTGTTCGTATATTTAACTTTAAACTGTGTCTTTTGTTGTTCGATCAAATTTACAGAAATTAACAAAATTGCATTGTGTGTTTTTCGTTTTCGTCCAGCCACACTGAGAGAATTATCAAGTAAATATTCCAGTGGAAAGTGGGGTAAAAGTATCCTCGTTGAATACGTATACTGTAAAATCTAATCTTGCTAGAATTTACAGTAATAAAAATTCCAATAACAGATAAATTTAACGTAAAAAAGGATTCAAGTAATTTTTAGTAGAAAATTCTTGAACCGATTTTTCATATCCCGAGCATTTATCAAGGTGGAAGCATCGTTCGATGTCCCAGGCGTAGGAAATTACATCCATGACCGCAACATTCGAACGAAGAAACATTCGACGAAAATAAACCGCGCGAAATGTAGCGAACCGCGAAAAGAAAAGCCCACGAGACCCGTACGAAGAATCTAAACGAGCGAGCAAGACTCTCGAGCCTCCCATTTAAATCTCATTACTCCCTGCCCGGTCGCGAGATTGCAACGCGCGGCAAAATGGAGCAGAGAAATAAAAAGTGACGCGAGTTGTCGAGAACCAATTATGGAAATACCACCGAGCGTCTCTCTCTCTCGATCGTCGTTTTTTTCCGAACGCGAACGTTCGAGAAACCGTGTCGCTAATCGTTCACCAGTTTGATCGTCCCAGCGAAACCACGATCACGTTTAAAGATCTCGACGACACTTTGACCCCGAGAAACGTAAATATCTCTGAGGGAGGGGGGAGTGATGGAAGCAGAAAGAAAACGACGAACGGGGCGGATAAGAAGAAACGAACTCCGTAGCCTCGGGTCGTAGAATCGAGCAGAGGAGGATACATTAAACCTAATGGGCCTTCTTTCGCGTAATTGACGATACCGCGGGTGGCCTTACGTTTCCCGCGGTGAAGGGTTTTACGACTTCATCGAGCCAACGAGCTCGGCCACGAGGTATCCATCTTGGATAAACATGGACGTGGACGAATGTTTTCGGGGGAATTTTCTCTCGGTCCTCGACGACGATGACTGATGGTCGCCATTTCGAAACTTTTTGTTTCTGGTTCGCTTTACCATTCTTAATTATTCTTTTTTTATTTAAACAGAAAAACAATTTATTTATTAATAAATAAATAAGTGTAAAAAATGTCACCTTGAGAACTATGAATAAAAAATAATTAATAAGAAATTTAGTACACTCGTCTCAAAAAGATATTTTTAACTGACCATCGGTAATAGAATAAATTAAACTGATTAAGTTACGTAGTTCCGACTGTATTATAAATGTGTAATTCTAAAACATGGAAGCGTGTGGATTTCATAATAATAATAATTTACTGTACTAACTCCATAAAAGTGTACAATAAAAATTGCATTTGGTATTGCTGGTTGTTTATATTAATAAAAACTCTTGGAATGCAAAGGGTTAAATATATTAAAATCAGTATATTAAATTATTTATTTTTCTGTACATATAATAACAGTACAGAAAAACACTGTACATATAATACCAGTACAGAAAAATAAATAATTTAATATACTGATTTTAATATATTTAACCCTTTGCACTCCAAGAGTCTTTATTAACACACTATCCGCGTAATGTGTATTAATACCTTTTCCACAGACTGGCGCCAATCGGCGGGTCGGGTATTACCCGCCGATAGTGTGTTAATATAAACAACCAGCAATACCAAATGCAATTTTTTGGCGTGATTTCTACAAATGAAACAATATTTCGTACCCCAGAAAAATGTACAAATACCTATAATTTAAATTTTATTCAAATATTTCCTAAATTCAATTCAGTGCAAATGGAGTGCAAAGGATTAATATATCAGATATTTATCTTGTAAATAGAAAATCCTTCCCTTGATGCAAGTCACGAATTCGACTGACCTCTATAGTGGTTCGACATCTAAATGCGCTCCGATCGACGCGATGAAATGCCCCACCTCCCCATTTTTCCAGTGAACTTTTCGCCATGGAAGACAAGGAGCGGAATTTCGATAAAGAATCCGGAGAATTTCCGTGCGGAGAATTGTCGGGGCACAATCACCAGTGGTGGAGCCAATCTGGAAAATTGCGAGCCATCGCGGGTCACCGGTTCTTAGAGAAGAGGATCGAGAGGTGACTCGGATCGCGGCGATCCAGGATAATCGAGCGATCGTGCGAGAGGCGTCGACGCCGTTGGAGAGGGACGTCGAAGGCGTACTCTCGATGTCGGGAGTGCCGTACGACTTCCCGACACCGTTTTAATTGCGTCCACTCTAACGGTAGCCATTCGCCATCGCGTTCTGGATCCAGGAGTGTCGGGACGCCGTCGTCGAGCGACGCCGCGCGGCCGATTCCTCCCGATTGATCGATCGCCGGGCCTCGATCGTTTCCTGGCTCGAGGCGAGTCCTTACGCGAGATCTCCCGCGAGCCACAGAAACAGCAATAATGACGGGTGTGTGCGATAACGGTGTCCGAGGGTGAAAGCAGCTGCTTTCTGGTTGGAATGCCGTTCCGTGAGTCCAGGCATCGACCATAGGTGTTCTTTTGTCTCGACGAAACGAACTGCAAAAGTACTCAAGGCGATCGAGTTTGGTCGGGAACTCTTCTGCCAAAGAGAAACGCGAACGATCGTCGTCGATAGAAAATTATTATTTTATTCTACGGTTATTGCTTTTGCATTAATTGCACTTGGAGATTGAAACTGGTTCCGTACACTCTGGGATAATTCTAGATATCATACACGAATTAGAAGAAATAATATTAATTTGTCTAATTTATGACGATAATCTTTGGGGAAAAATTGTGTGGATATTCTTCGTGGAAATAGTATCGCATATAACTGTTAAAGAAAGATGATTATAGTATTAATTCGGAGCGATTAATTTGTCTAGTTTATGACGATAGCCTTTGGGGGGAAATTCTATGATTTGCAACATTGAAAATTTTGTAAAACTGTTCATAATGGAAATGCAAGATATATAGTTAAAAAACTGTGAATATTATAATTCTAGCTCATTCCTATTTATTTACTTACGTTGAACCCGCGTTGTGTTAGGTCGATATCTCCTGTGCTCACGATCCCAGGTTTCTGGGTGCCTTTTCCAGTCATCATCGCCCACCACGCCAGTCCCACCTCCTCCAGGTATTCCCTGGAGACCCTGCAGCGTCTGAAGGGCTTGTAAATTTGGACTGAGAGGTCGTCCCTTTAGCGACGGAACCGGAACGTAAGCTGCACCCTCGCCAACGTACACCACCTTAAAGCAAAAGAAAAATTAATTAAAAGAGGCTTAAAACAATCCGTAAAAAGTGGATGATTAATTTTCCACCGTGAATCAGGAATTTAATAACTTCACAAATAAATTAAGTAACTGAGTCTCTAGCCATAACTGATTTGGACATTACATTTTTTGATATGTAATTTACTTATATTTCAAAAATAAGTTTCAAATGTAAAATGAAATTGACTTGTAAAGTATTTAACTTTAGAAAACATCTAGTTTGAAAATGCATTAAGTAGGCCTTCTAGTTGAGTACGACTTGGACATCAACGTAAGTAGAAATGGCCAGTAATGGACAGACGCGTCAGCCAAATCGTATCAGATCACTCGAAGAATTTTCGAAATCAATTGTCACAAGAACAAAGCATCCTAGACAAAAATTTGCCATACTTTCGACGTATCAATATTTCTCGGACATCATGTGTATTTTGTTTATCGTTTGATCGTTGAATTCTTTTGTTTAAAATAGGACCGCGGTCGGCGATAGGTAACCACAGGGGGAAAAACAGCCGTTATTTGAGGAGAAAAACACTTTATTTATTTGCCTGTAACACGTCGGCTTCCATTCTCCAACCGCCCATCGCCACGGCCGAGGCCTCTCGTCTCGCCGGGGGGAAGGGCCCGCAGCGGCGTTGCCAAAAAATAAAGGAACGCGATTCCCCATATCTATGCATTTTTCACATCCTCCCACCTTGAGTCCTTGACTCAACACACCATTCTTTCCGTGCTACAGATGTTCAAGATTGATACCGGTCTGGTTTTTTCATGATACGCCCGCTTCATGTTCTATTCTCCGTACCAGCGCAATTTGCATTCATCTCACTACAAACCGATTTCTCTTTGACAGCTTCACATTTGACCTTCGTTTTCACCTTTTCTCGAAGATCATTACTGTCGTCCATATACTCAGAAATTTCAAGCGGGTACATGCGTTGCACCGGACGCTTGAATTTTCCTGTGCTCATTTTCACAACAGCTACCCGACATTTATTGTCCCTACCTTCGATCAGCTCTTCAATACGGGCCAAAGGCCAATCTAGCCGCTTACGACGATCCGACACTTGTAAGACAATTATCTACGTAAAATGACTTGGCCAATTTTCCAATTGTCTCCCTTGACCATTTCCTGTTTGTTATATTTTGCAAGACGTTTGACAGATGCAATTCAAGCACGGCTCCTAACAAGAACGGGCTACAAGTGAGGCCAAAAACGACCCGTCTATGCCGGAATGACTTAAGTTCTCCGTCTTCAAACCACAGAAATCTCAAAAAATCTCTATCTTTCTTATTAATTTCGATTTGCAAAAAGGCTTTCCGAATGTCTGCCAAAAGTGCAATTTCGTGTTCCCGGAATCTAAGCAAAGCGGATGGAATTAACTCAATGAGATTAGGTCCCTTCTCAAGACAGTTATTCAACGAGGGTTTGCCCCTCACATCTTATCATATGCATTTTTCACATCTTTCCCGCATTACGATTTTACACTATTTCTATGACAAATCATCGCGTATTTTTTTTATTTACGCCTCGTGAAACTCGTAATACATTGTCAGATTTTGGTTTCCGATTACGTATAATTTATAAGCCTCCACCTTCTTCGGGGGTAGTCATGCGTTGCGGGGCCTGTGTGGGATTAGACGTTCTCCGTTACCATTTACTATTATCCAATTCAGGATAATTCATAATTTGTTAGTGGGCTCACGTAGCGTGTCCGGGCATCGTTCGTTTTCTACTTTCCTATATACCGTTCTACAAACGCGATCATGCGCGTAAAGATTCGTTATTATTTAGAATTAATGTAAATCGCACGCGTACAAACACACAGACTTGTGCGCCACAGAACTGAAATTATAGGCAAGGCAAACACATAAAACATGAAAAGCGTTATTAGGCCCAATTTACTTTAATTCGCGTAACATTAGATTCCGTCAAACAAATTTAAATGCCAATATAATTTTCTTATCGAATAGTATGGTAATATCGCAGAATACATAACATTCTGCACATTTTAAAACGTGTTTCAATTATAATACGTAGAATAAAATAAAAATTCTAAGAATGTGATTTGGTTATCTTTAAATAAAATTATTACTAAACACGTTGGATAATTGCTTGAATTTACGAGCACTTTGTTATAGCTTTCGACCATAAGAATTGATGCAAACTTAAAATTATAATTTTAAAAAATTAAACGCATACACAGAACGTTAAAAAATGTATCAAGATGTTAGATTGGTTACAAAAATATGCATATGACAAATTTTATTAAAGGTTGAGTCATAAGTATAGTAACTTTAATTAATAAAATGAAATAAAATTCCATGTATAGTTATAATTCTCGTTGAAACTAGCTATCAAAGCAATTGTGTATCGATCACAAAACGTGTCTGACCATAGACAATCCATTTCCACTGTATGCTCCTGAATGGTATTCCAAGGAGCTTCAGAGACTTTAAATAAAGAAGAATTATAGCTACCTGCCCATACTTTTTATTTTTATAATTCGTAACAATATAGTTCGTATCTGTTATTTAAAAATTAATTCTGATTTTGTAAATTAATTCACTGTTACATTTCGAATAATTGAAAAACTGCACATATGTGTGCCAGTACCCTTGAATAGATTTGTGGGAATGAGGTGGCATGAGTAAGGGGAATGTGGACAGTGTCGAGTAATTTGCGTTTTTAGTCGCAGGCCTCTGCGAAGGCTGAATACAATGTCTGACCCAGTACGTTTAGCAATTCTTTCCACGACCATTTCAGTCTTTCTGCATTTCAGGAGGTCATGGCCACAGCTGGGCAAATTTTTTTCACGATCAATAGAAATTTCAGATTCGTTCTTGAACTTCTCTTCATTATTCATTATTCATTTGTGAATAAAACAAACAGTAAAAGTGTTCATTCGTTGATTACAAAACGTGTCTGACCATAGACACTCTACTTCCCCTGCATATTTTACAATACATTACTACTATCGAGCAAAGTTTTTTAGATCTATCGAACAGAGTTGAATTTTTGTTCGTTTAAATATAGTTCTTTCTATAATTGAAGCTTACTTTTATTCAATGTATAACAGGCAATTGGCCAAAATTTTAATGTAAGAATTTTATTCCATTCCCGTGAAACATTTGATGTGTCTTTGAATAATATAAATTCTACTGAATTGAATAGTTTACTTCCCTCTTAAGAAAATATTAAACTCGACAATTTCTCAATTCATACTTCCTGCAATTTTATTTAACAAATCTTCTGAAGCACTCTGTTCCTCCAGAAAGGTGCGATTTAAGCCTCCACATACTTGGTCGATAATTTTAATATCGGTAATAATTAATGCTCGTATACATTTGTGGTAATTTTATTTAGTCTGTAGCCAATCGAGTGGCGGTGGAGAACGTGTTAAGATGAATTAGCTACACCGGCCGACTGTCGACAATTAGCGCGAGCTGGTCACCAGCATCGATAAGAAAGCGAACGACGGACGCGAACAGCGGAGAATTTCCTCAGTCTTTTTGCGACATTCTCCCAGTGTGCGTCGACAGGTAGTCTGGTCAGGTGAATCGTGTGGAAGGAGGCGCGTGGTCGGTGGTAAACGCCAGCCAGCGCTAAAAAGTCGCGAACAGCCTCCACATGCCGGCACCCGTTGAAACAATCGTGTTGTTACACGCTCTTTTTCTACCGTCTTTTTGCCACGTTCTTCCCTTCTCTATCTTTCACTCGTTCCTCGGATTCCTCGTCGATTCCACGGCGGTTCTTGCGAGCCGACGAATCCGCTTCGTCCTGTGGCACGTACCCGATCACCAGCCACGAGACTAATATTGACGCTAGACGAGGCGTGGCCATAATCGAGAAACTATCAAGGCGATTTTTTTTTTTTGTTAAGTATTTGAAACCGTAGATACAGGTTTGTGTGTTTTGCAATGGCGAGAAAAAATGGCACGCTACGACGAAGTTGTTGAATTTGTAAATGTAGATTCTCCGAGGAGGAAGAGAATAAGAAAAGTTAATGCAGGAAAAGAAGTTTTAATTTTAGACAATTTCTATGTAAATATAATTGTTGATTTTTACTTTGATGTATGGTTTTTACGATTGTCGTCTGTTCATTTGTTCGTTCTAACTTTACTCGAAATCCCTAAAGTAGATCAAGTTAAAATTGAAACGACTGATTTAAAAAAAGTCTCTTGTCTTCCTATTGCAACACACTTTCGTATTTAAATCCAGCAACAATCTTTATTCGATCTTACTATTTTCAAATTCCAACTTGAAAGAAGAGCACGAAAATATTATAATATTAATTCTAATCGGAGAAGTTGTGCTAATTGAAATGAATTCTGCAATTCTCCCCGGGCAACCAGAAAATCCACAAACCTCCTGTCTCTTATCGACGGTATTCGCGCGATTTAATTACTGGTATCTTATCGGTCCAGACTCCAGGAACGTCTTCGCGTATTCTATTTGCTCGTCCCGCGGCTTAAATTATTGCTTTTCACGGACTTCACATTTGAGGAATCTCTGGAACTCGTCCGTCCGAAGAAAGACGGAGAGACGTTTACGGGCCACTAGAGTAGTTAGAGGATCGTTCCTGCGCAGTATCTTCTGTCTCTCCGGGTTTACGGGAGGCCAGTCGAATGATCTCGGTGGTCTTTAGAAGTATCGTTTTGAAGAACGATTCCAGGATGGAATGCTGCGTCGCGGAAGAGGATTCGTCTCGAGGAACTTCCTCGAAATGAGACCATTCTTCGGACTCGTTTCGAGCTTTTAAGAGTAATTGAGATTACTTTGAACCGATCCTTCTCGGACGAAGGGATCCATAGATCCTTAGTAGTCTTCTAGAAACCGCTCGCGGGCTAGCTTCATACAATGACACTTTCTGAGTTGGGTAAACGAATCTCTTCTAGTATTTTTCTGCCAATGTTTGCAGAGTTTTGATTATTGGATCATTTAATTATGATTTTAATACGTTTTGTAGATGTTTGAGGTATTATTATAATTCTAACCGTTGTTTGTGTGCAACGAGATGTTTTTAAAATCAATTTACAATTAATTATGTTATAAATTTTCTTGTTTTAAATTCAGGTGTGAGCGAGATATTGCACAAAATGTTTATACTTCGTCAGATAATTCAAATTATTGCTAAAACATAGGACTTGTCGAGGATGGTGCTGGACTCTAGCGCCGTTATATTGGAATTATTTCTTTCTGCTCTTAAAACTTAAAATACCTCTCTATTGAACACTATACTTTAATATTTTTATATGCAGACTGTCCAAAAGAATTGATCTGTGCAAAAGAAGATACTTCATCTATTTCTCAACAATGCAACTGTTTATTTTAGATACATTTAAAAAATAGATTTCACCTTACTATTCAACTTTCCTCTATCTTTCATCGAATTCAAAATAGAACAATAGCGTCTAGATAACAATAATTCTGAGTCCACAAACCTACGTGTAGACAGAAAACGTTGTGTCTATTTGAAAATATTGACAAGCACGACTTTTTTGGGATGATATTATTTTCTTCTTTTAATATTAGCCATTGAATTAGAATTCTAAAACCGCCACGCGTCATCGTAAATACGATCCGACGTTCGCGGACGGCGTGTTCCTTTTAAGGTCATAATTCTCTTCCGTAGTCTCGTTGCCTTTGGTCTCCGAAGTCTCGTCGTGACACACGCGCTCATGCGATGATTAACGGTCGCGCGGTTAAGGTGTCGAAAGTCATTAGTCCGGCAGCAATCGGTTAGACTGGCTGGGTTATTGCACCTATCGCGTCCCTGGGCTAGTCTATTAGGTTTGTCCCTGACCTACACCTGTTTGCCGACTGCCACTCGATTATTTTCGACCCGATTTATGGCACCTTTAACGTACGATGCCACGCGAGGTACTATAGAGAGAAAGATAGATCCCGATTCACTGAATCTTTTTTGCATCGTGCCACACTTCGAGCCTCTAAATATTTCGATAAAAATGAAACGCCCAGTCTAAGGAATAGCGGCGATATAATTTTTCAATCGTCTCCAAAATAGTCAAAATTGCTCCATGTTTTGAAACACTGATTTATAGCGTTAATTCGATCAAGAACTTGAATAATTTTTTAGAGTTTTCCTCCTCTAAAAAATCCTGATTTTTATTATTGACATACTTGACCTTCCGGATTTAAAATAATTGTCGTACTTTAGTCCAAATAATCGTTGGATCTCATGTCCGAACGATCGTCAGACGTATCCTAAACGATGGATCGATCCTTTGGTCTTTCACTTTTCGCCGTGACGCGAGTAATCGATGGGATACGCGAAACGCTTGTAGGAAATCTGTATTCTTATCGTCTCGGAGAGGATCTTTCAACTTTGTCGAAGGATGGCTGACAGCGCCTTTAACAGTGGAAGCGTGTGTAACGGGTGTTCGAAAGAATCTGAGCGTCGGTTGGGGCAGGTCGTTAAACTCGGAACTTGCGACGAAAGCTTTGTACGGCTTCGGGTTGCGCGTACATGCGTTGTCGGAGGATTCGACGTGTCGTGAAATCGTGTTTGACCGTGGAATGATACTCACGGCATCGTGATCGCTGGCTTCGTGCGTCAATGCTTCTCTGGTTTCGTTGTGGAGAGAGTCGTCCTCCTCGGGACCGGATCCACTTCCGGTCCAGTAATCCTCGGTCGTCTCGTCCAGGACGGCGTCCTCCATGTTTCCCTCTCCCTCCGCGTTTTCGTGAGTCGTACCCTTTTGAATAATCACGTTCAATATTACGCTGATAAAAATTATTTTATTTTTTAAACCCTTGCCTTCTGTCTCATAATTTCTCCATTTATCAAGAATATTTAATCTATTATTGTTAGAATGTATGAAGACGAAGGAAAGGAGGATAGAAAGTTCCAAATTCATTTAAATACCAGACGGTCATTGTATTTATCAGGTACATTCAATGCAACATTGCTAAAATTCAAGAAGATGGAGGAAAGGAGGAAAGAAAGTTTCAAATTCATTTAAATACTAGACGGCCATTGCATTTATCTCGAATATTCAAACTACTATTGCTAGAATTTAAGAAAACGAAGAAATGGAAAAAAAAAGTTAAAAATTCATTTAATACTGGAACTACCAAAACAGTCAAAATGACGTAATTTCTAATAAAACTAATAAAAAATTTATTCGACTGAATTTTTGAAAATTTACTGTAATTTTCTATAAGAAAATGAATAAACACTTATTTCCATTTCATTATATATTTTTTCACGGGTCTACCGTTTTAATTTCTTTGATATAAACAAATACACTATAATTGTCGGTAGTTCTAGTGTTAAAGAAGAGTCAGCTATTGCATTTATCACGAATATCCAATCCACAATTGCAAAAACTCAAGAAGACTACTAAATGAAGAGAAACAAAATTCTAAATTCATTTGAAGGTTAATAAAAAATATTACAGTTGGTTTTACTACGAGTGAAGATTCATTTCCATTATATTTGAGCCATAATTTGTATCTATGTTATGTTCGCGTGGAGATAAATAAAATTTTGTGAAAGTTACTCGATACAGCGACTCTGGATGTTGAAGAGCAGTCGTTTATTCAATTATACCTACTAACTAGATTCGTTGGATCGAGTATAGTATTTTTCGTGCTTGGCCCTGATACTATAAGGCAAGGGTTTGATCAATACATTTTCTGAGGGGTGCTTTTACCTGGCATCGCAGCGACACGACTGACAGCAACCACACGATCGCGTATCTGTAACAGAAATATGGATGACGTCAGATTTCGTCTGTATTTTTCTCACAATAATACGTCTTTTTTGTACCAGAATTGCTCACGAAATAAAAGTAACCATTGAATGGAAAAAGAAAATAATCACACTGAGTGAGTCACACGAGTTGTCCACCTGAATAACCACTAAAGTATATTTTTCAGAAAAAAAGTGTTCTATAACTCAATTATAGATTGTAAAACAGAACTCGTGATACTCGAATGATTTTTTAAGATACTTTATTCGTTTACAAGATATTAATATGTATCTTCTTGTATTTTAAGAAAAAAGTGCGTTTTCTGTACGAAGGCATGAAACTTTATTCGAATAAATTTTAAATATAATTTCACAATTATAAATTAGATTAATTTGTATGTATGTACAAGGTGTTCATTTGAAAACTTTATATCTAAGTATTCTGGAAGTATTAAGATGATTCTAGAAAATACTAGAGAAGATTTTTGGTCATCATCGTCTCTTCGAAACAAAGTAAGTTCCTTGAAACCTCGTTTAGTCTGACGACTAGTTCTAAAAATAATTAACTAAACAAATACTAAAAAGAAATTTCCTTCCTCTCCAAGATGCAAACAACCAGCATACAAATGGAAAACCCTGAACATTTATTCGTTTTCTAGAAACTAATTCCCAAAGACTTCGCTTTCCAGAAACTGGACCCAAGTCTTTCGAGCTGCAGTTCGCCAGAAAATGGCGCCGAATCTCGTACGACCCATCTCGTTTACCCAAGGTTTAGTGCATCTTTCTCAATCTCGAAGAATTATGGTTACAGTCTCGAAGTCGTAAGCAGATTCCGCGACGAAGCCTCCAACCGGCATTCTGATAACGATATCCTCGCGACCATAATCCCAAGAACAAAGGCCTCGAACTTTCCACTCGTTTTGCATGCACGTAGTCCATTCCCCTCGTATGTGGACGTTTCCCGAACGTCTCGGTTTCGTCTTTGTTTCTCAGCGGGAGGAACACAGCCTGAGAAGATCTGGCTGTGGACCGTAGCGCACGTCTGCGACGGGAGATGGCGATAATGGTGAAGGACGAACGATAGTAATCGCCCGGAGACCGTAATCGGATCATTGCCACGCGTGACTTGGCCTAATCGCCGCCAGGGATCGAGGGAATCCTCGTCGGTGCGTCAGCCAGCGCGCCGGAGCGCATACGAATCCGCTCGATGGATCCTTGGGGACGATTCTGGGCCCGCGAAACTGAGTGCTATGGGAACTTGCCGTAAACGACGCCGGAAAACGTGAAAGAGGCGTGGATGAGTCATGTTTCAGCGCTATGTGCAGCGGGAAGACCGCGAAAGCGATGAACAAGCGAGATGAAATGCAGTCGACGACGCTCGATCTCGTCGCGACAACAGGGCGGACGTAGCTGCTATGAGCGTCGCGTCGCGTCGGTTCGGTTTTCATGGAACGGATACATTCCTCAGCAAAAGGATTCCACGGTGTTCTATTCTTAATTTACAGATGGAAATAGGCAGCAATTCAGTCAGTAATCTTGTATTCAGAAATTAAATTTAGATTCGGGTCAAAATGGACCCAGGTTCCTAGTATGTCAAAGTAGGACTGGAAGACGTTTTGTCGAATTTTTCTATGTTGAAATACCTGTGTGTGATTATTTAAATTGTTATTGCGTAGCGATCTATTGTATGTTTGATATTCCATTAAGGCGAAGAAAAGTGTCTTGACCCGTTGCAACCACTTATTTTAGAGTCACGAAGTTCTGGTGTTTTAATAAATATTTATAGTTCTAATACTAAATGAACTCGTAAGAGTAAATCATAGTAATAAATAATTTAAAAATAGTAATAGGCAGCAATTCAGTCAGCAATCTTGCACTGAGAAATGAAATTTAGATTCGGGTCAAAATGGATCCAGACATCTCAGAATCCAACTTTAGAATTTTAGTTTTCATTTATAATATTTCTTTTTATCGATATAAAATTCACATATTTAAGTAGAAGAGGCAATTTTTCTTTCAGATACTATGCATTTTAATTTTCTAATTTTTTAAATTCTTCTTCTTCTGACTTTTCTTCGCGACTGCACTCTCTAAAGCCTCTATATTCTGATCGTGTTCCGTTGCACTTCATCGACTTCCTTTCTACGTCGTGACAGGTTTCCTTTGAAATCGATCGTGGTCGGCTCTAACCCTTCGGGGTAAACTTGCTACGTACAAAGGTTTTTATTTATTTTAGAGCTGCTGTTGCAAGGCACAGGATTTTCTGGTCGTTGAAAATTTGAGTATTTCTTGAAATGAGGTTTTTAAATATTTGTTGATTCGATATTTTTCTACCGGTGTTGAAAATCTCGATTTGCTGAAATGTAATCCACGCTAACGAAATTAAAATTTAGATATACCACACTACAAGACAAGGTTGAGTTTCTTGCAAGAATCCTCTGAGATTTTTTGACTTAAATTCAAACGTTAACAAATTTTTAGTTTCAAATTTAATGAGTTGATCCTTCAAAAAATTGTTAGAGAATTTTGGATCTCTACTTGGTTTTAGTAACATATTTTTGTTAGCACTTGACAATTAGTAACGTTAGCCTTCAAGACAAGATTGATATGTTCAGACCATTAAATAGAAAAACTTCTGTAGATTTGTAGTAGTCCATATAAATTAAGAAAATTTTTGATAGCAATATCATACATTAAAACACACTTCTACCAATCGCTATACGTAACATATAATTATGAGCATTACTAATGACCTTATCGATTATAAGGGTCTTGATGTATAAATAACGACGCGATATTTCCCTCTTAATATGACGATACCGGATGGCAAGAAATTCTTGTTAGTACGAAAGAAGGATAACGGTCATTTTTTCGACAAACTATCTTCAACGTTTCCACCATCTATATTATCCACTTCAGAGGACAACGATATATGAATTAACGTATATGAAGAACGAAATACAATCGCGAAAGACGGAAACAAGTTCCTAAGACAAATTACGAATTCACAATTTACTCGATAATTACTTGGAAAAGAATTATGCCCGAATGCCGGTTCTCCTTTCGTTCGTTTGACATCGCTTCGCGCGTCCCTCGATAAACACATGTTCGCTATAATCACTATGATACTGGCAGTAATGCAATGCTCGAAGCTCGAGTAATTTCTGTTATTCGGATAAACGCGCGTGCGCATTAGCTCTTCCTAATAGCAGGAATGGATCCCTTTTCTCGCCTGTTAAGCGCGGTCTGCAATAGTTCGCGGAAACATAACTTCCTTCGAACGAAAGAGGTCAATCCTCGAATACGCGAAAAGGAATTTCCAACTGCTAAATTTTTAACTGTTGAAATGTTCGACTAGAGTCGATGCTTACCATAATAAGAAAAACATTAACTTTGTGAATTATAAACAATCGAACGAACTGACAAGGTACTATATATTATTTAATATTATTCTTTATTATCTGGTACCATCAATTTTTGTATCCAATTCCACCGATATAACTGATCGAAAAATGCAGACAAAACTCACACTTTGACTTCCAAATATCAGAAACTTCACCATCAATGAGATTTTTTCTCAGAATTTCTTGGCCACGTGATTACCAATTTCCAACCATCGAAATCTCGATGTAATATCGATCAAAATAATAAATAATCTCGTCCATAAACCAACCAAAACGAAGTATTGAGACTGAAGTTTCATAGACCACAGTGATCGCGATCGAAACTGTTCGTCTAATTTTCATCAGGTGTTATTAATCTTGGTTTTTACTTAAATATTCTGACGCGAGAATGTCTCGTAATTAATATCAACGCATAATAGTACCTTGAAGAAGATCTGTCGAGTATTTCACACCCAGATATCGATGATAGATGTCGAATAACGCCACCGCGGAGACGCTGAATTATCGAGTCGCAAAACGCGTACGTTCGCCCACGCGACGACGAGGAGACGAGCCTGGTACCAGTTTGGCGTGTACCTTGGACGACCTCGCGTGATTAACGATCGTCCCGTTCTTCCGTGAAAGTCCCACGACTAACATCTTCCGCTTCATTTACACGCGTTGCAAACAATAATTACTGTAAATAATGAAAACTGTACCAAACGTCTCAATCGGATGTTCCAACCCTTGCCACGCTTTTGCCATCCTTCCAGGAAACACAAAATCGTTCGATATTAGGCAGAAACGACGATTCTAATCTCTTTTAACAATTTAAACGCTGAATTTTATCGACCTCTCTACGCACAATTTAATTAGAAGTCATTTTTTAAACGTATACCATTCGATTTTACTTAAAATTTCCTTGTTATTGATAAACTTGCTATGAAGAATTTATAACGAGTCAAATTGGTCAGTTTTTATGTAATTGAATATTTATTTAATTTCTGTTCTTGGGCATTTCTTTTTCCTGCGATTAAAAACGTCAAATGGTATTTGATTTTTGCGTTATTATTGCGAGCTAATTTCTGACGAAAAATTGAGTCAGAAAGAAAGAGTAGAATTTTTTCAGAAGAGGCTTCGTTTTCGAAAAAATCGAGATCGAAAATTAGAGGACGCGTGCGATTTAATACGATTTTAGTCAGCGCGGCTGTCCATTACTCACTGATTCTACGTCTATTTATGTCCAAGCAGAACTCTGTTAAATAGTATTTGACGCGTCTGTCCATTACTCACCGATTCTACTTCTACTGGCGTCCAAGCAGGACTCTGTTGAATACGATTTGACGCGTCTGTCCATTACTCCACGTTTCTACTTTTACTGACGTCGAACTCACTGCAACTTGATTTCCTCGAAAACGAAGCTTCATATTAAAAAACATTATTTTTTCCTTTCGATTTATTTTTTCGGTAAGAATCTCGTACATTTTTTTCACAATTTTATAAACCGTAGGAGTAGAAAGGGATGAAGAAATACATATAGATAATTTGTTAGTTTTATTCTGAAGATGAAATTGTAAAATTCCGAGAGTAATCTTATAGTCTTCTGCCAGTTAAAATCAATCTTTTCGAAATAGTTAATATTTTTTAATTAAATTTGATGAGATGAACATATTGAAAGCGATGCTCGAAGAAGTTTTTGGACTTTAACCACTCGATTGCTGTGGGAAGATCATCGAAAAATTAATCAAGTGAAAGGACAAAGTCGAACAAGAAAATGACCACTCAATAAATAATTAAAAAGTTACTATGTTAATACTAGTATAATTTTATATATCAATATATAAAGAAATCAAATATTTTGAACGATTCAATATCTTTTAAAATTATTATCAGTACCTACCAGGTTCCACAAAATTAATTCTTTTACATTAAGATAATTGTTTCTGAATTCTCCAGAGCACCGGAAATCTTGTAAATCGAAACAGATGAAATGTTTTAAAATTATTATCAATATCAGATTCTACAGAATGAATTCTTTCGTATTGAGATAATCATCCCATAATTTTCCAGAGCATCGAAAACTTTTTCCCCGCAATCTCTTTGAGAATAAAATTATTTTAAATTAGGTCACCGGGGCGTTAATGGTAATGATGCGTAATCGACGTTTCCCGTGCACCTCAAGCCTTGGAAATAGCGTCGCTAGGAAAGAAAATGAGTTCGAGTGGGCAGCGAGGAGGAAAGTGGCTCGAAGGTGAATCGAGGACCGATATTCGATTCCGTTAGTCGTGTGTCAGGTAGCGGGTGTCGTAGAATGCTTTGGTCCGCCGCGGGGCAAAGCGGAAAAGCTAAGAGAGGCGTCGGATCCGCGTCTCCGTTCTACAGAACCGTAATTGCATTGACCAGGGCGTCGTCAGTCGTTCGATCGGACGCCGATTATCGCAGCGACGCCTTCAGGCGGTTCCGTGTCTGGGAAACGGGACCTTTTCTGTCAGAAAATTGA